ATAATAATAATAATAATAATAATAATAATAATAATAATAATAATAATAATAATAATAATAATAAATAATAATATAATATTAATTAATTAATAACATTTCTTGAATTTTTGCAAGAATGTATTTAGGCGTGTAAATGCCTTATCCAGAAAAAGTTGACGAGTTGAAATCTGCTTGAGAGACTATATTTAACCCTTTTTTTGTGTGTTCACATTGAAATGCTGCCTGTACAGCTTGTACGAGTGGAAAACAGTTTTGAAGATATCAACTGAAATGTGAAAAAAGATATTTTAATTTTGTGGCAAATTATAACAATCTCGAAATGGGAAACAGATTGTTCATATAAAAACAGGGTACCAGGAATGCTTTCTCTGAAAAATAAACTTAATTAATACTGATTATCATCATTAGCTAATCTTATTAATTATGACGACCATTGGAATCCGCTTGGCTTCGATAAAAATAGCATAATACTTTCAAGTGATTAAGATGACTTTATTATCCGCGAAACCTAATAACTCTTCTGCTAGAGCCATTTTTAAGAGTTGATCACGAAGATTCAAATTGGGTTCTGGCTCTACTTCATTTACGATGACCATTTTATCAGTTTAAGGTGATTTTGCTTGAAATAATAACAAATTCCAAATCTATACTCCATTAATTTTTCATCATCAAGCGAAAATACCTAAAAAGTAGAATTGGTATGACTATATTTTCGACTGGTCCGGATATTCTCTCAAATCAACCCATTATTGTATAGTAATAAATAATAAATATAATAAAATAGGTTCACATATATTCTTTCTTTTTGTACTTTAAGCTCTCCCTTCAGGCTTCATCAAATTTTCAGGGCCGCTCAATCCAATATACGCAGCGCGCCTCAAACGACTCGACATTGAATGCCCAATTGATTTTGTGGCATCATCTGCTTTGAGTGCAATAGTTGAACAGGATAACTCCTACAGACTTAGCTCTCGACTTGTCTCTAGAGTCCTGCCAATTTCAGAAGAACGCGTTGAGAAAAATTACACTTTTAGTCAACTTCCATACACTGTTTTTTGGTTTCGCAATGGCATGCTTCTAGAAGAAAACGCA